CAACGGTGAACGACTTCACAGCGACGAAAACACCAATGCAGATTTAGGGTTATGCGGAGATGACTTTCTCTCTTCTTTTTCTCTCACTAGACTTTTTGTCTTTTTCAAATGACTCTCTTGTCCTCTACTAATCTGACCCATCTCATTTTACCCAAATGAGACATAATGGACCACACTATTTGGGCCTATTCTCCACATAGGAAGGGAGCCCAATAACCCAACAAATCTCCCCTCACGACTATGTGGAGATATCCGCCAAGCCAGCGATCTCACAACAAACTTCAAACTTTCCTCTTGGCAATGCCTTGGTCATCATATCAGCACCATTATCATCTGTATGAACTTTAGCTAGTTCCACCAACTTAGCATCCAAAACATCACGTATCCAATGATACCTCACATCAATATGTTTGGATTTAGAATGAAAAGTTGGATTCTTACCAAGATGAATAGTACTTTGATCGTCACAATACAACAAGTATTTATCTTGCACAAAACCAAGCTCCCGCAAGAATTTCTTCACCCATAACAACTCTTTGCATGCTTCGAGTAAGTGCAATGAATTCTGCCTCGATAGTAGACAACGCCACACACTTTTGCAACTTTGATTGCCAAGCCAAAGCTCCCCTGCAAAGCTGAATCAAATAGCCTGAAGTGGACTTTCCGGAATCAATGTCTCCGACCATATCCGAATCCGAGTAACCCACCAAAGTAGGCTTATCACCTCCAAAACAAAGTCTCAAACCTCTAGTACCACGAAGATACCTCAAAATCCATTTCACGACATTCCAATGCTCTCTACCTGGATTTGACGAAATCTGCTAACTGTACCAACGGCGTGTGCAATATCGAGGCCTTGTACATACCATTGCATACATCAAACTACCCACCGCAGAAGCATAAGGAACTTTTCTCATAGCTATCTTCTCAACTTCATTTGAAGGACTTTGTTTAACACTCAACTTAAAATGAGTAGCAAGAGGAGTACTTACAACCTTAGCATTCTCCATTTGGAATCTTTGCAACACCTTCTGAATGTAGTGTTCCTGTGATAGCCAAAGTTTCTTCTCTTTTCTATCACGAGTGATACTTATACCAAGAATCTTCTTAGCAGCTCCCATGTCTTTCATGGCAAATGATTTGCCCAGTTGCTTCTTCAACCTGTCAATTTTGGAAACATCTTTTCCAACAATAAGCATGTCATCAACATATAACAACAGGATAATGAAATCATTCTCGAGAAAATTTCCGACAAAAACACAATGGTCGAAGTAGTCTTCTTGTAGCCTTGCTCACACATAACGGACTCAAACTTCTTATACCACTGCCTTGGAGCTTGCTTCAAACCATATAGGCTTTTTCGTAGCCTACACACATAGTCTTCCTTGCCTTCAACAAGAAAACCATCTCGGTTGCTTCATGTAAATCTCTTCCTCCAAATCACCATGAAGGAAGGCTGTCTTCACATCCATCTGCTCAACTGCCAGATCAAGGGTAGCAGCTAAACTTAACACAGTTCGGATAGATGTCATCCTCACCACAGGTGAGAAAATCTCATTGAAGTCAACACCCTTTCTTTGTCTAAAGCCTTTCACCACTAATCTGGCTTTATATCCGGTAGATGTAGAATTGCTCTCTTGCTTCACCCCGAAGATCCACCTGTTCTCTAAGGCTCTCTTACCCTTAGGCAACTTCACCAAGTCATAAGTGTGATTATCATGCAGCGATTTCATCTCATCCTGCATTGCATCCAACCACTTTTGCTTTTCTTCACTTTCAACGGCCTCCTCATAACATTCGAGGTTCTCCTTCATCGATCAACATCACATACTCATTGGTAGAGTACTTCTTAGAAGGTTGTCTTGGCCTGTCGGATCTTCTAGGTTGAGTTTCGGGTAGCTCGGGTATATCACCAAGACTCTCATCATGTGATACATCATGTTCCTCTTCATCAACATTATCAATAGGAACATCCAAGCTATCTTCAACCTGTTGATTATCGAGTATCACCATGTTGTTCATCATCATGAGCATCAATATCCAAATCATTAATAGACAACCGAATTGGATCAACATCATCCACATTACCATTTCCTTTAGGTGTAGACTTCTTCTCCTTATCAATATCTTCAATGGTTTGATCTTCCATGAATTGCACATCACGACTTCTAACAACTTTCTTTTCAACGGGGTCATACAACTTGTAGCCAAATTCATCCCGACCAAAACCAATAAAGATGCATTGCCTTGTCTTCATATCCAACTTGGATCTTTCATCCTTCGGAACATGAACAAATGCTTTACAACCGAAGACACGTAAATGATCATAAGTAACATTCTTGCCAAACCAAATCTTGTCCGGCACCTCGAGTTCAAAGCAACTGCAGGACTTAGATTAATAACATGCACTGCTGTAAACAATGCCTCACCCCGAAATGCTTAGGCAATTTTGCTTCAGAAAGCATACACCTAACTCTTTCAATCAATGTCCTGTTCATCCTCTCCGCTAAACCATTCAGCTGAGGAGTTTTAGGAGGAGTCTTCTCATGTGCAATACCATATTGTCTACAATAAGCATCAAATGGTCCACAATACTCACCACCATTGTCGATACGAATGCGTTTCGAGCTTCTTGCCTGATTGCCTCTCAACCAAAACATGGAATTCTTTAAACTTGTCCAACACTTGGTCCTTTCTCTGTAGTACATAAACCCAAAGCTTCCTGGAACAATCATCAATAAAGGTAACAAAGTAAAGTGCACCACTAAAAGACTTTACCTTCAATGGGCCACAAACATCAGAATGCACCAATTCAAGCAACTCGACTTCCTGGAGGGAGGATGCTTCTTGAAGGATACTCTGGTTTGTTTACCAGCCATGCAATGAGAACATTTCTCCAAATCTACATTCTTCAATCTTGAGAGAACATCCTTTTTAAATAAGCGAGTTAAGCCCCTTTTCACCGATGTGCCCAAGCCTTACGTGCCACAAAGATGACTCCATATACACGAATTCACACTATCTTTAGCAACCAAAGCTTTTGTCCAGTAAAGCTTAGAGTTTTTCTCCCCTTTAGCCACAATCAAGTTACCTTTGGTGAGCTTCCACTTTCCAGAACCAAAATGGTTATAATATCCACCATCATCAAGTACCTGCACAGAGATCAAGTTAAAGCGAACATCTGGAGCATGTTTAACTCCTCTAAGCAACAACTGCATCCCCATGTTGGTTTGCAAGTGAACATCACCAACACCAACAACTTTAGACACCCCATCATTACCCATCTTCAATACTCCAAAATCACCAGGTGTATAAGATGTGAAGAACTCCTTCCTGGATGTAACATGCGATGTAGCACCACTATCAATTATCCACATGCTCTCATCAGATACAAGACTAATAGTGTCATAATCACGAAGACAAACAAGGTCACCACATGTAGTAGTAGTAACACGATCACCATCATCATTATCTTTTTCTCTTTGCTTACCCTTTTTGTCTTTGCTCTCTTTCTTCCACAAAAAACAGTTTTTCTTTATATGTCCTGTTTTGTGACAATAGTGACACTCCACATTCTTGTACCGAGACTTGGACTTGCTCCTGCTTTTATCTCTACCACTGTTTTGTTCTTTCTTTTGGTTTCTCCCCCTATTCTCTGTAATAAGCACTTCTGAATGAGATGAAGTACCCTGTGTCTTCCTTCTCATCTCCTCATTAAGAGCACCACTCTTTGCCATTTGCAAAGAAATATCACCATTAGGGGTAGCACTTATCATGGAAACCCGAAATGTCTCCCACGAATCCGGTAAAGAGTTTAATAGGAATAAGCCCAATAGATCATCATCAAATTTTATACCCACTCCAGCTAATTGATCATAGCGTCCTTGAAATTCACTCAAGTGATTTGAAACATGAGTTCCTTCCTTGTACTTCAACTCCACAAAATTTTTCAGCAAGTACAATTTATTAGTCCCTGACTTAGAAGCATACAAGGACTCAAGCTTATCCCATAGGCTTCTCGCATGTGTCTCATTAGCAACAAAATTATAAACATTATCATCAACAAACTGCCTGATAAATCCACATACCTGTTGATGTTCAAAATCCCATTCTTCATCTGACTTGGATTCTGGCTTATTGGAAGCAAAAACAGGAAGATGCAAATTTTTCACAAATAACAAATCCTTCATCTTGCCTTTCCATAAGTGATAATTTTCTCCATTCAACGGAATCAATTTTGTATGTGCCTCCATCATTCACGCAAATTAAACAGTCCCTTAACCTAAGAGCTCTGATACCACTCTGATGGTATAAAAAAGGCCAAAAAACAAATATAACAACTTGACAAAGAGTAATAATGCAGCGGAAATTCAATCCCCCTTCTTGCGAGAATCAGCGAGGAGCACCAAACAAATAGAATCCAAAGCACAAAGAGACACCAACAATTTTAACGTGGAAAACCCCTCAATGCAAGGGTAAAAACCACGAGTCGTCCAGACCAAAGAAAAATCCACTATGATCAATAATGGGGTACACAAGAGTCTCCAATAATAATACCAAAAGGTATTTTCAATAAGCAGAATTAACTAAGCACAAATGCTTACAAAAGAGAAACAAAGAAGATGAAAAATCTCCAAAACAGGGCTGCTGGTGCGGGACCAATTTCTCCCAATCTAGACCTTCGATTGACGATCCGAACGGTCAGAATGAAGAACCATATGTCTGGAACCTACTATCCAAAAATCAGCTCGATCCAACGGTGAACGACTTCACAGCGACGAAAACACCAATGCAGATTTAGGGTTATGCGGAGATGACTTTCTCTCTTTCTTTTTCTCTCACTAGACTTTTTGTCTTTTTTCAAATGACTCTCTTGTCCTCTACTAATCTGACCCATCTCATTTTACCCAAATGAGACATAATGGACCACACTATTTGGGCCTATTCTCCACATAGGAAGGGAGCCCAATAACCCAACACATATGACATACTTGAGGCTCTCAGAAGAAGGGAGCTCTATGGGGTATTCCCTTTCTTTTCCTCTTCTGTGGCTTCTGAGGTCCAGAGATTTCCCCTTGCTTTTCCTGCGGAGGAGGAAGACGAGGAGTTTGAATGGAAATGAAAGGAGGAGCTGAATCATCAGGGTTACTTAAAGCAGCACTGACCTGAAAGTTTAAATGTAAAAAAGGTAAAAAAAAAACCACAACTCTAAAGATTATTTTAATAGCAAAGATGTCACTGTAAAGAACAATTAGTGGTTGTGATTGTTACTATCACCACCTTGCAAGAAATGGAACAATAGCGATATAAATCAGGTTCAGACAATTTTCTACTGCAAGTATTGCATGATGCCTCGTTATTTGCTGTTGAACCAGAATGTGGGAGAGGATTCAGAGAAATAACCAATCGTTTGTTGCATTTGTAAGGCTGCAACAAAAAAGAAACCAAAAAACCACAAATGACACTAGTTTTGAATGTTATACATGAAATATTTAGGATTGACAAGAATATATCATATGATACCTGAATTTGTGAGCTGTCAATATACTTTTCCATGGTTGTAAGAGAGACAACATCCTTGTAAACATGTCTATAGATTTTAAGTATCTTGTGATGGCGATGAGGACCTGAAGCTACACAGTATTGGCAAACTGACAAATTGCAGTTGATGCAGTACTTATTTAACTCATTCCTACGAAATGGATGAATTGTACACGAGTCAAAGAAAGTTTTTCTCAGAAAACCCTCAAGCCACCTTGGCTTCTGGACTTTACGTTCTGCCTCTTGTTCATCCTACAAAGTAAATCATGCCAAACAAGTTTATGCTAAAAAGCAAACCATTCTTCATTTCATCGTTGATTATCCTTTTATCTTTTTGCTAATGTTATTATTTATCGTTTTTCTTTTTCTCCCTCCTCACAAACAAATTAACCATGTTTATGGTCTGAATATATTACATTTTAATTTTAATCTATATCAATGTGTTCAAGTTCACTTTCTCCAAATTTTGAATTTCCCCTTCATCTTCATCACAACAAAACTCTCTCTACTGAGTCAATTTAAAAGTATATTATACATTATTTTTAAATTATTCAGATTTTAAAAAAAATACTAATTATTCATTAACCATCACTCTAATTTTGATATTCATTTTATTATTTTTACATTAGAAATTAAAAAAAGACATTGATAGATGATAGTTTTTTAATATCATATACATTTTTTAACCACTAAATTAATTAAAATAAAAATATATAGTTTTATGTTTACTTAAAAGTATGATATTTTATTTTATTTAAAATTTGATTGGTATTTTAAATATATCCTAAGATGAATACTAGAGTGAACAATAAAAAAATATAATATTTTAAGAATATTTATATTGAGAAAGAGATATTTTTCAGTTTTTTTTTGAGATTAAACGTAAAAGTGATAATATATATATATATATATATATATATATATATATATATATATATATATATATATATATAAACACATATAATTTATTTGTAGAAAATGTATTATAAAATTAAGTATTATAAATATAAACAAATAGAGTATTAAATTGTGTAATAAATACTTTTATTTAATAATGTAGTTTGAATATACATAAACTCATATGACAAATCATATGCTGAACAAAAAATACTTCATATATTAAATATATTATAATTAATTAATAAAATATTTAATAATGTTGTCAAATTTAATTATGATAAAATTTAATTAATACAATAGTAATAAAAATTAAGAGATATACCTTATACTGAAATACCTCTCCATTCTTCTATATTAAAATGTTTTGGAGGAACATTTTTTCATTATAAAAATGATAAAATTTCAATTTTTTATGTATAATAAAGTATATTTTTCATAAATAATTATATGTAATCATATTTTATATATATAAGTTCATATGAAAAATTTAATAAATATATCATATTAATAAATTAAATTACACGTTATATTCACTAAATAGAGTAATTAATATTACATAAAAAGTCTATGTACTAAGAAATTCATTTATTATAATTTTCTGCTGACTGACTGTATAAAAACAAATTCACATGGACAATTTATATAAACTAATCCCTCTATATATTTTTATACATTTAAGACATTAAATTTCGTAAACATTACTTTGTGTTTATGAAATGTGTTTAATCTATATAGGTTCATATATATAAAATTATATTTATTTAATAAATATAAAATTTAATATTATCATTAATGTTAATTATATATTTAACTAATACTCTGTGAGAAGAATTGTATTTTTAGATATGCTTTGTGAGTTAATTTTGTAAATAACAATAAAAATAACTATTTCAATATTTTTCTTGTTTAATAATTAATTTTTATTTAATAATATAATATATATTTAATAAAAATAAATGATAATGTTTTAAAAATTAACTTTATTTAATATATATTTTAATAAATATCATATAAAAATATATTTTTACCATATTGTAAATATAAGCTATTAACAAATTTTATCATTGATTTTTGAAAATAAAAAACACTTTTGATGAGGATTTTTTTTTTCAATTTCAAGCTCAAAATCTTAATTAAGGTTTCAAGCTTAATTTTCATCAAGAAATCTAACTTTAATGAAAAAAATTCATAAAATAAAATAAATCATATTTGAAATATGTCATGCTTTCAATGAAACATATAAGTTTAAAAAACCTAAAACTTGTCATACTTTTTTCTGATTTAATCTTGATTTGTATACATCAAATGTTGACATGTTTTGCTTCTCAGGCTAAATCATAATCCTATTGCATTTATAATACTATAAAATATCATTCTCCTATATTTATAGTTCACAAAGCATCCAAATTGTGCCCCATAAATTCGAAATAAAAGGACCTAACTAAACATTAAAAAAAAAAAAAAAACTAGACCAAAGAGAATAAAGCTACTTAATTGAATTTAACAAGTAGAAAATATAGAGGAAGAATGTTGTGGGTACATACCTTGTCCACTTTTCTGGAGGAAGAAGCACTCATCGTGTCCTTTCTTGCAGAAAAAAAATGGAAATGAAATTAGATTAACATTTGTAATTTAAAAGATGTTTAAGGAGAGAAAGGTTTACCCGAGGAATTAGAAGTGTTGAAGCAAGATGAGTTGAAACACAGAGTGAAGAAAAGAAGACAGATAAAGCCAACGGGGACTGGCCATGAAACGGAAGCGTTTTTGTTCAAAATTGCATGACAACCAAACTGTGTCAGTAGCCGTTTCATTTCATCTTAATTTGTGGCCCTAACATTAATTATTTTTGAAATTCAGAAGAAGCCATTTTATAGATATAAATATTTATTATTAAGATAAATAATTTATTATGCAAAGATAAATGGTTTTCATATATAATTTATTTGAATGTAACCACCATTTGGACTTATGATGATTTTTTCAACAAATTCAAAGTTCAACCTTATCAGATGAAGGTAACGGAGAGACTGCTTTGTTAAAAAAATATTAGTTTAATAAGTTACTTTAAGTTATATAATATTATGTTATTTTACTTATTTATATTTCAATTATGATTATTGGGGGACTCTTAAATACTCTTAAATACTTGCCCTATTTTAGTTTCTCCTGTATTCAATCAACCTCATGCATCAAATTAAAAAAAATAAAATTATAATTCTTAAACAATATAACACGATGTTAAATTGATATTTAAACATTACATTTTTAATAATAAAATGATATATAAGACTTAATCACAGAATATAATTACCACAATTTTTAATAATATTTGTTTTTTTAAAAACTAAATTATCTCTAATTTACATCTTGATTTTTTTTATTCATTTAGCATATCATTAGGAAATTCCAATTAAACATTAATAATTTAGTTAGATACTATAACATTATATTATTACTTACATATTTTACATCCACACATTATGAAGACAGTGCGCTATTATATCATAAAATGACGTGAGGACAAAATTGGAAAAGATAATAATGATGGAGAATTATGTTAGGAACATGGGACAGCTGACAACTAACAAACATGAGGGAGAGCATATGACCACTAAGAGGGAGAGAATAACAAATTCACATTTGTAAGATTTTGTTTCGGGTCTCAAGTAAATATAGAGTCATGATGGTAGTAGGAAAAGGGGAGGGGAAAAGTTGTGATGTTTCTTCTTCTGGAATGCTATGTAATTGCTGCTAGTTATTTCTTCTCATATGTAAAAAATTCTACTATACGTAAATAATACAGAGAGCACAAATTCAATCCCTTATCTTTTGTACACTTATTTTGTTTTGTTTATACGACTCCTGTAACATTGGTGCTTTCATTATGTTTTCATGGCAAAAAATACACGTTTAAAGGAATTGACTTCTGATGTCAAGAGCTTATCAGCTAATGTGAAACGACTTCTCAAAATGATGGAGATCCGTCATGCCGAATACTCCAACCGATTTAAAAGCATGGAAGTTGGAATTCAGTCCTTGAATTTAAACGGTGTTGTTGCGGCCTCCTTTGGTTCTCTAATTTCAGGTTCTCCTACACCCCCATTTCAAGTTCGTAATGTAAAACTTGATTTTCCCAGAATCAATGGATCCATCTAATGCACTAGAGCGGATTTTTAAGGCAGAACAATTTTTTTACATATTATAATACTCCTGATGGACAATGTTTGATTATTGTTGGTGTGCATATGGATGCGGATGTGATACCATGGTTCCAAAATGCTTGCTAAGAACAACCCGTTTCAATCATGGGTGGGTTTTACTAGAGCATTAGAAATAGAATTTGGACTCTCTCCTTATGAATGTCCACGTTCTACTTTGTTTAAACTAAATCAAGTGGCCTCAGTTCAGGAATATTACCGAGAGTTTACGACATTGACAAACCGTGTATATGGGGTTACTCTAGATGCATTATTAGATTGTTTTATCAGTGATCTTAAACTTGATATACGTAAAGATGTTATTGCACAAGATCCTACGTCTACAATTCGAGCAGTATCATTGACAAAGTTGTATGAAGAAAAATATAGCCCTAAACAGAAAAATTATCCAAACTAACCATTCTCAAAATCAAACTTTTCCATCGTAAGTCAAACCCACAAAACTAGTAGCCTTCCCCCATTACTACCTAGCCCTACCAACATACAACCCATTGCACAAAAACCTAGGTACTCAAATGTCAGAAGCATGTCCCCTGCTAAGATGCAACTAAGACACGAGAAGGGCTTATGTTTTACTTGTGATGATAAATTCACTCCATTACATCGTTGTCCTAATAAAAAATACCTGTTATTAGATATGGAGACTGATGAAGAAAATATTGTTCAACCAGATCCACCTGATGAAGATGCTGGAAAAATGCAGGAAGAGTCTATAGATCATCATTTATCTTTTAGTGCACTAAAAGGGGGCTCAGGTTTTGGAACTATGAAATTTCAAGGCACTATAAATGGTGTGGCAATTCAAATATTGCTTGACAGTGGGAGCTCTGATAATTTTTTACAGCCGAGACTTGCAAATTCTCTTAAATTACCTGTGGAATCAACTTCAGGGTTCCAAGTTCTAGTAGGAAATGGTCACACATTAACAATTGAAGGAATGGTAAAAAATGTGGAGGTTCATATTCAAGGTCACATGCTACGCTTACCAGATTATCTTCAACCCATCTCGGGTGTAGATCTGGTACTTGGTGCTGCTTGGCTAGCAACCGTAGGATTCCACATATTGGATTATAGTGCCTTGACTCTTAAGCTCTACATAGATAGAAAATTTATCACTTTACATGTGGATAAGACCAAGCTACCTAGACAGGCTTAGTTTCATCATGTCCGCAAAATGAATAGAACACATGCTATTGCAGAGGTATTTACATTGCAGATGTAGTTGCCTTATTACTCTGATGATCAGTGGGTACAAATTCCTGACAATGTCGAACCTGAAATTGTCATGTTATTACATAATTATAGAGATGTGTTTGATGTTCCGCATGGCTTACCACCTAATAGAACCCATGGCCACAATATTCCATTGTTACCAAGTGCAAAACCTGTAAAAGTCAAATCTTATCGGTATCCTCACAGCCAGAAAGAACAAATTTAGAAAATGGTTAGTGAGATGTTACAGGAAGGGCTAATCACACATAGTAATAGCCTTTTTTCTTCTCCAATTGTATTAATGAAGAAGAAAGATGGTACATGGAGGTTTTGCACGGATTATAGAGCTTTAAATACAATAACTATCAAAGGTAGTTTTCCCATGCCTACTATGGATGAATTAATAGATGAATTATTTGGGGCAAAATTCTTTTTCAAGCTTGATCTAAGGTCGGGATATCACCAAATTTTGGTGAACAAAGAAGATAGGTTCAAAACGGCTTTCAGAACCCATCATGGCCACTATGAATGGATAGTCATGCCTTTTGGCTTGACTAATGCCCCAACCACATTTCAATCATTGATGAATGACATTTTTGGAGAATTCTTAAGGAAATTTGTCCTTGTATTTTTTGATGATATACTCATTTACAACTCTTCTTGGCCTGATAATTTGCAGCATTTCGAGGTGGTCCTATAAACTCTAAGGAAGCATCAATTATATGCTAAATTGTCGAAGTTCTCATTTGGATTACTTGAGATGGAGTACTTGGGGCATACAGTCTCGTGAAAAGGGGTGGCAATGAATGCTTCCAAAGTAGCAGCTGTGTTAGCGTGGCCACAACCTACAAATCTGAAACAATTACGTGGGTTATTGGGACTTACAAGATACTATAGGAAGTTTATTTGAGCATATGCTACAATTGCTAGTCCTTTGACACAACTTCTCAAAAAGGACAGTTTTATTTGGGACTCTCATGCCACCACTGCTTTTGAAGCTCTTAAAGTGGCTTAACAAATGCACCACTACTAACGGATTTTTTCCAACCTTTTGTATTGGAAACAGATGCATCCGGAAAAGGTGTTGGAGCTGTCTTGAGTCAAAATAATCACCCCATAGCTTTCTTTTCTAAGAAGCTCAATGCTACTCTACAAAAGAAGTCAACTTATTCAAGGGAATTATATGTTGTTACAGAGGTCATTGCAAAGTTCAGGCATTATTTGCTTGGACATAGATTCATTATTAGAACTAATCAAAGAAGCTTGATAAGCATTACAGAACAAGCAATGCAAACACCCAACCAACAATTATGGTTACATAAATTGTTGGGATATGAGTTTACAGTAGAATACGAACATGGGAAAGAAAACATCCCTGCGGATGCTCTTTCCAGATCTTTCTTTTTGGCCTGGTCCCAACCCAAATTAAAGATCTTGTCAACATTACGGGAAGCTATAGTTAGAGATGAAACCTTGGGTGTTATTCAGAAAGAATGTAGACAAGGAAAGTCACCTCATCCTATGTACTCAACTCAAGATGACTTGTTGTATTGGAATGGAAAGTTAGTTGTACCACCTAAACATCCTATGATTCAACAAATTCTTCAAGAATTTCACTCCTCCCTTATTGGTGGGCATGCAGGTATCATAAGAACAATAGCCCGAATTGCTTCTCAGTTTTATTGGAAGGGAATGAAACAAGACATTGCAACATTTGTGAAGACATGTCTTATCTGCCAACAAGAAAAAACTTCTAATGCTTTACTCGCAGGGCTATTACAACCTTTACCGATCCCAAACCAAATATGGGATGATATAGCTATGAATTTTATCATGGGGTTACCACCATCCTATGGCTTCACAGTGATATATGTGGTTATAGACAGACTTTCAAAATATGCTCACTTTGCAACATTAAAGGAAAATTACACTAGTGTGCAAGTTGCGGATGCTTTCATGAAAAATATGGCTAAATTACATGGCATTCCTCGAACTATCGTTTTTGATAGAGATAAAATTTTTATTAGTCAGTTTTGAAAACAGTTGTTCAAGTTGAGTGGCACCACACTAGCTATGAGCACAACTTATCACCCGCAAACAGATGACCAATCGAATGCTGTAAACCGTTGCTTAGAGATGTACCTGCG